TAAATAATATTTATTACTAGGGATATGTTATTTTGCCTACTTTTGTCTACCCTTTCAATACCGTTCGATTATAATCTCATCCGACGGTTGATATTTGCGAAATAAAACAAACCTCTTTTTTTTTCGTTTCTTTCTCCTCACTTCCTAGTTCCTACAACATCTTTTTTCTCTCCTTCCCTTTCTGTCTTCTTGGCGGCCAAGATTGTAATCGAATGTTTACATCAGCGTTAATAAAAAGCATTATGTTTGATTCATATACATCAGCGTCAAGCAAACCAACCTTCAATTGGCACTTAGTTGCAAGTGCAACCAATGATGTCAAACTCGAGTTTCTATGTAGAAACGGAAAGGGGTGGTAGAAACGTAAAATGTAGAAACGACACGAAACGTAAAGTTTCTACTTTCTACTACTTAAGATCAAGATACAAAATTATATATATATATATATATATATATATATATATGCATGTAAAAAAAATATCACATAATGAACATGTGTGTTGAGCCTCTTAAGGAAACTTTTTTTTGATAATCAAGTATCAAAACTATAAACAGTGATAACTAACAAGTAACAAGTAATGGATAACCAATCTGCTTTAACTACTTCATACACTCTGCAGATTTTGGATCATCACTTATCAGGATATAATTCCACTTCTTTCAATGCACACAATGATCCAAAAATACAAAACGATTCTCATAGCATAACTTATAATAGACTTACAGCTTTATAATACATAATTATAAAAGACATATATCCAAACAAAAGATATCAAGATATTGTACATATGATTTGGGGAAAACGAAAATTGGATTTTTTTTAATTTCTTTCTTTGTAAATCTTTTCTTTATTTAAAAATTTGTTTTAAGTAAAAACGGTCAAAACGTAAGTTTTTACCGTTTTTACACGGCTTTTTTACCAGTTTTTACCAAGGACAGTTTTTACTTGCGTTTCAACACGCACCACTCTAGTAAAAACGTAAGTTTTTACGTTTTTACACTAGTTTTTGACAACAATGAGTGCAACAACTAAATTAACTGCCAAAAAATATTTTGAAACAACACTCCACTCATTCATCACCAACAAAAATAATCAAAACTTGAAGGAAAAAAATCAGACCTTTGAAGAAAAAGAATGACAATAAAATTAAGGGTTTTATTAACCAAAGATTGTGGACTTGCCCACAGCACCTTTACCGTAATCGACCGCTATAGTATCATTCAATCACGCCATCGTCTTATTGGAATTAAGAAAGGCCTACTAACCCTAAGGAATAAACACGTTTTTCGTTTTCTGTTTTTTCGTTCTTTTTTTTTTATCAAATATGTGTTTTTCTTTTTGGAGGAAGTAATTTTCATTACCGGACTTTTCGATCTTGGTCGCCAGGAAGAGAGAGAGAGAGAGGGGAGGAGAGAAAAAGGATGTGCTAGAAAATGAGGAGAAAAAGAGTTTATTTTATTTCGCAATATCAACTATTGAATGAGATTGTAATAGAACGGTATTGAAAGGGGTAGACAAAGGTAGGCAAAATAACCTATCCCTTATTATTATGTCTATTGGGTAAAAAATATTTAATATTTAAAATCTAAAAATTTTAAATTTGAATTTTGAACTTAATAGGTGAAAAAAGAGTTCAACATTCAATGTTTCTCCTACTTTTTGCATGGAAAATTGTTAAGCATATTAATAATATTTATTAATATTATGTCTATTGGGCTTAATTATTATACTTATTAGGATTAATTAATTTCACTGCTTCAAAAAATTAAATAAACCAAATATTATTGTGTTAGAAGCTTTAAAAAATAAGTTTTACCGAAATACTATTTTAATGCTATTTATGATTATGTGTTTCCAACCTATTGAGTAGTTGCCTTTAAAAAAGTATTTTTTTAATTGAAAAATATGTTTTGAAGCTTATAATAAATAGATAATTTTTTTCATAAAAACTAAAACCTAAAAAAGTAGCTTTAATATTTTCTAAATAGTTTAAAAAATAAATTCTAATTTTTTAACTCCTAATCGTTTTAAAAAACGAGTAATATTAAATGCTACTACATGCTTATGCAAAATGTTGACAGGAGGTGGCAAAATGGACGAGACCCGAGGGCCGGCTACCCCGCCTGCCAAATGGGCGGGTTAGCCTACCAACATATTTTTTTCTTATGTTTACTGTCTAACTATAGAAAACATATACAAGTAGTAATCTAGATGCAACTATAAGAATCTTTATTTGTGGATAGATATAAAAACCTAATACATGCTTATATAAAATGCTGACAGTTAGAGGTGGCAAAATGGGCGCCGCCAACACATTTTTTTTTCTTATGTTTACTATCTAAATATAGAAAACATAAATAGATAGTAATCTAAACGCAACTATAAGAACTTTTTCTTGTGGATAAATATAAAAACTTATTACATGGTGATATAAAATATTGTTAGATATATGTGGCAAAATGGGCTTGGCCCGGCAGGCCGTCCCTCCCAGCCCGCCAAACCGGCAAGTTAGCCCGGCAACACGTATTATATATAAATATTTCAGAAACTAGCATCTAAACAAAATTTCTTTTTTTCCCGCACAATCATTTTGAAAAAAATGGCGAGATAACAGATTTATACATGCGAAAGGTATTGTCCTCCCTTTGATATTCATCCATGTAAAATTAATATGCAGTTGATATGCATTTATACGTACTATGTGGATTTACAAATAGCACAATGTTGATTGCTGTTTGGAGTTATACGACTTGACTGCACATTTATTCATTGTATATACATGCTTATTTATTTGATACTTTTACTTATAGATTGTCTATCAGTTATTTCCAACAGGAGTAAGGATCAAAAGTGCACTACAGAATGAATTTTATCACTTTTGCAAGTGTAGGTTGGACCATCTTCATTATTATCTTAATTTCAAACACAACTTTTAAATTTTTCTTCTTCATGTATTGCGTGAGTATCTGAATTTGATTGGCCATTGTCATATACTACATGTACAAAAAGTTGGAGTTAGATACCTCATAGTGTTGACTGTTTATTTAAATAAAATGCAGCGATATACTTCTGCGATTTGTGTTAAATTTTACGAGACAAAAAAACCAATTTTTTTCTCTGTGCAACGCACTTGTAATATGTTGGGTGTAATTTCATTGGTGTTGTTTGTAGTTTGTGGTTAAACTATGTTGTCACATTTTTTTGTAACGCAAAAGTTATTTTTCGGTGGTTTTAAATTATATTTTGTGTTGCATCTTTGCATTATTCGTTAAATCTTATATTTTATGTTTGAAGGACCAGATGATTTCTTTTATAAGGGAAGCAATTTTTTTGTTGGAACAAGTAGTTTAAAAAAATAACATGTAAGTAGTTTTCATTTGGAACAAGTTGTTATGAATTAACCCCTTCAACCTTGACTTTGTGTTCACACTTAAGCTACCTTGAAATGTTTTATGGAAAATAGTTTATCATTGCCACTTTGTGTTCACACTTAAGCACAATGAGTTTTATCACTTTTGCAAATGCAGGTAGAGATTAGTCATTGACACTTAAATTTGTGTATATAATTGTTTAACAGTGTCTCATTATTTTTTGTACGTTACAAGATACAATTACATGTTTGGTCCTACAAAATTTTATTTAACATTTTTATTTAAAATTTGCATTAACTTATTGCGTGAATGTTGTAGCCTTTTCAAGTTCAAAAATAGCACAAAATAGCAAGACAATTATTTTTTATTTCAAATATTTTTCAAGTAACAGATTTTTTTTCCTTCATGTTTATACCTCCATCATTGTACCATTCAGAGATTGATAGCAAGATGAAGGTGTTGATTTACCAGTGCGATGATTAACCAACAACGACAATATAATTTTGTTTTTTTTCCCGGGCATCGCACGAGTAATTCACTAGTAAAATCTAAATCTTAGACCCACCCCACACTCGGATTAATTTCATAATCGCTTGTGAGGATATCTGGGGAGCCTACTTGCCTCAAAAAGATAACTAGGGTTAGTATAAAAAAGAGAGCAATTTACTTATTATTTTAATTATTTGTTGCTTTAAGAAATTATTTATTTTCATTTATTTATTATTTTAAAAAATTAAGGAAGTTTTAATTATTTTTAATTATTTTCTTATTTCTTGATATTTTTACTATATGAAATAAGAATAAAGAGTATTAATGGAAATACCATTTTAAGTATTTTAATAAATATAACAATTAAATATTTAGAATATTGAATAATTTTCCTAAATCTTTATTAAATGAAATAAAAATTAAATCAAAATAAAAGAATACTACCAAAAAAATACAAATTAGCTCTCTTTCACAATGTGAAATTTTTGAGTGAATTTTATTTGTACAAATTGTATAAAATCAATGAAAAGAACATTTTATCACTTAAAACAAAAATATTCATATAATTATGTAATATTAATTAAGGGTTCACTTTTTCTGCCGTTACTGTAGATAAATTATCTGCAGCAAATCTAATACAACGTCGTTTTGAGACAAAAATGATAGTGTTTTTATAATTTAAATTTATTTCAGGGTTATAATAGTCTTTGTATTTATAATATTTTAAGATTTCAATGCCAAAACGACGTCGTTTTGAGATTAAATGCAGATAACTTATCTGCATTAACTGCAGAAATATTTTTTCCGTTAAATAATAATATTTATTATTTATCATTTTAATTTTCACAATTTTTATAAATAAAGTCTAAGCAAATATTTCTCTATACCCCAGGAATATCACTTTCATGCCTCAACACTGAAAACTGAAAAGTGATTCATAGCTGTATCCTGCAAGATGCTGCGTTCTTACTGTTTCAGCATTCTCCGAAACAGTAATAAAACAGTATAGGGAAAAAAGAAAAAGAAAAACATAAAATAAGAAAAGAGCACAGAAATTGAGAAAAATATAATAAATGTCAAAACACTACAACATTAAAAAAATGTGAAATAAAAACCATTAGTCCTCGGGAGCAGAACAAGACATCTCAGATATTGGACTCATCTGTTCTCTCTCTCCTCTTTCCTTCTCTCCATTCCAACAATTATAATCAATAAAAAAAATAAAAACTTTGAACAGATACCATCATCATTCATCATCATCACTCGCATCAACAGAATTCCAAGGTGGGTTTGCTCTATTTTCTGCTATAGTGTATGGTAACATGAGTACAAGAATAAAACCATGGTGTTCATGGTGAATTTTACTGCAACTCGGGTTAGGTGTCTTTTCTTTTTACTTCTTGAGCTTAGATTTTGTGCCTTTTTCATTTTTTTTTATTAATTTAGGCATCTGGGTATAGCTGGGTTGATGTCAAATTAGTCTCTTGCTTGTCAAAGTTTACTGCTTTGACTTTTAAGCACTTTGTTTGGGTGAAAAGTTATCGTTTTTTAGTGTGTGCGGCTTCTGGGTACCCTGGATTGTTCCAAAGTGTGTACTTTTGTGACAGAAGTTGGGTTTTTTTTCCCCCCCAAACAGTCTGAGATATGTTTTCTGTCAGTATCTGTGGAACTCCTGGAATTTTTAGGATTTAAATTGTCTGTTTTTGTCAAAGTTGAGTTTGCTGGTTATCCTCATGACATGTCTCTTTCTTCTAGAATTTATGTTTGTTTGAGAGTAGTCTTTCTAGTTTATTGTAAGTTTTAGTGATTGGTTTTTATGCCTGTCCCGAAGCAAAGATTGTGTTTTTGATTCTGTGAATTGTTTTGGTCAGGGTTTTCTGGTTTTATATTTTGTTGGGAAGCAAGGGGATGAGGATGTTATGGTGATGATGATGTATGTGGAGTACAGCCAGTGTTCGTGTAGAAGATGAGAAGGGAACAGCAGGAGGGATGCCAGGCTTCGATTCACAATTACCAAATTCCAATGCATGGTATATTTCCTCTTTGCTGTTTCTCTCTTAATGTAAGATTTGAATATGTAGGGAGAAATCTTCGTTCGTGTTTCCTTGGTATATTTTCTTGAATATTTTTGGCGAATATCAAAGAGCGCGAGCCTTGAACTTTCCTTTGTGACTGAATGGTCACGAGTTTGAATATGGGAAACAGTGTTTTTGCAATTATACAAGGGTAAGGTCGCATACAAGGATTGTCCTCACTCCACCCTCGCTAGTCGGGGTTTAATGAGGAGTGATTTATTTTTGGCGAATATCTTGTTTGCTACCGATTCATATCATGAGATGAATGAGAGACGACTTTGAATCATGTGATACACGCGTAAATCGATGCGTTTCTATATCATTTATATGAATCATATGATTCAATGATTTGTTGACTTTTTTTTCCTTTCTTGCTTTTCTTTCTTCAGTTCTCATTAAAGAAATTGAAGTGTCAAAAAAGTTTAAATTGTTAAATAAAAAGGAACTAAAGAGGCGCTACTAAATGCACCTTATTTGATTATTTCATTGTCCTACTTTATAAAATTCTACCATATAGCTCGCCACCTAAAATTTTTTGTTGCGCCATGTCTTGAGTCATCCCTCTAATGGAAATTTGGATTCCTTGTCTTAGCAAGAATAGAATATTCAATATGAGAAGAAAAATCTATAGTTTGGATTACAAGCCTGTTGCTATGTTCTACTTTTTGTTTTTTACATTCATCAAATCTTTAAAGTCTTCTGGTTATATGTGCTATTTGTCGGAAAAGAAACACAAGAACTGACTTTTGTTAGCCTAAATCTGACATATGGTTTTCAGCTATACAGAGGGAAGCACAATTGATTCTTTTCGTGTGTCTGACTTTGATCAATCAATTGGATATCGCTTAGAGGATGCTGTTGACTTGAGTGGAAGTAAGTATTCTTATCATCCAACTCAGAGAAATTTACATGTAACTAGCATATGTAGGATATCTTGTAGTATCTCATGTCATTGCAATTTTGCTGCATCAAATCATTTTTATGGACTTTTTTTGGTTTGTCTAAATGATATTTTATAGGGAAAATTAATGGTGGGACCACTAAAAAATAATATTTAATTTTATGAGACACAAGATGTTAAAATTATTAAGGACCGCAGAAAGTTTATTTTGAGAGAATAACTATTTAATTTCGCCTAATGAACAATAACACCTTAATGATTTCTTTTGCTGTTAGCCACTCACAAATTTGTTTTTTAATTTCATGTAACTTCACACGTAAAACTTCATTTACAATCATTAATGACACAATGGTAACAAATAACCACTCAATAAAAAATGTAGCCTCTGACTTTGTATATAGCCAAACTGCTTCATAGTGGTGCTAAATCTGGTGAACCAAGCTCTTGGAGACTGCTTTAGTCCATACGTTAACTTATTCAACTTATAGACTGAACCTCTATTGTCTCTGTTGAATCCTGGGGGCAATTTCATGTTGACTTCCTCTTCCCACTTCCTATTCAAGAAACTTGAGAGCATTTATAATTTTTAACTTTTGGTATGAAAATAATGCTAAACACTATCAAGAAGCTACTATTCTTCGATTAAAATTTAAGAATATAAAGAAAATATTATATATTTAAAAACTTACCAATGATCTCCAATGGATTATCAAGTGTTTATGATTGAATAAAGGGAAGAATAAGGGTGTTAAATTCTCATAGTGTAGCATAAGAAGAAGAGAGAGAAAAGAAATGAATGTGCAATTAGATTAGGGAAAAAGATGTAGTATTGAACAAAAAAGGATTTCATGAACAGCATTATTGTCTATTTCGTGAAATTAAATGGTCCTTCTCTCTAAATAACTTTATATAGTCCATTTTGATAATGTCAACTTTTTAATCCCTTAAATAAAACAACACTTCTTAGCGGTCTTTTTTATTAACTTTCCTTATTTTATAATCATCTCTCCATAAAATTTTACTGGATTTATGCTATAACTGATCTTAGAATCTGTCGGTGCATAACTTCTCATAATCTCATCAGTTGCATCGCATGGCAAAGATAGCATCAATAAATGCTATTGCACTCACACGTCCACACATGTGCACAAATGGATGCGTGCTATTACTCTTGGATAAAGAGCTAGATATCTAGGTTTATAATCTGATTAATTTGTTTTTCTTTATTGTTGGTAACAAGTGCAGAATTTGCTCCACCCTCTCGTTCTCTAATGATTTTTTCTAATATATGATGCAGACTCGGTTTTTAACTCGCTAAAATTAAGTAGCCAAACAACTTCTCCTGGTCTTGTCCACGTTGGTACTTGTAATAAGGTGAGTTTTTCTAGAACTTTTTATGTAATGAACTTTCAGCTTGGTAAATAAGGTGATTGGTAGCTAGTTACAATACCTCCTCATATTTCACGACTTCTGTTTCTCTTCTTTTCAATTTAGTTGCCAACTTCACTTGATAAAAGCCCATTGATGAACCAAACAGAACGACGGAGCTTGCAATTACAAAAGGTTCAATCATCAAATTTAGTCACAATATTAAGTGGTAACACAGAAAACCTGGAAGAGTCTGCCATGGCTGATGCCAGTCCTAGAACTGATATTTCTACAGATGGTGACACCGATGATAAGAATCAGAGGGTAATATTTCCTTTTTCCCATATTATTTTCTCCTATCTGTTTCAGAACCTGTTTAGATTGAGCTCATCATCCAGGATGCAACTGTTTGATTGATCTAAACAGTATTCAAACATAATGCCTAAGCAGAAGTCTTTTCCATTATGTCCCTTGAAGCAAAAAAGTTTTTTTGTTGATGTTCTTGACAATCTCACATTTATGCATTCTATTTTTACAGTTCGATAGAAGTCAATCCCTTGCTGCTGCTGCTTCTGACTCCAGTGACAGATCAAAGGATAAATCAGATCAGAAGGTAAAGTATAATTTGAAGAGTAAATGTCCATTTTGGTATTCCAAAGACATACGTAATATCACATTGGTCTTAAGGTATATGCAACATCAAATTCCTTGAATAACATATTTTTGCCATCAAATTGGTCCTTAAAATGACATCAAGTTGGTCCTTGTTGGTCCAAACTGATGGCATTAATCATCATAGGAGGACCAGTTTTGATGTCATTGATAAATGGAGGACCAATGTGATAATGTGTATATCTTTGAAGGACCAAAATTAAGTGCAGTCTATTTTAAATTTTATCAAGCGGTTAATATCTAAAATTTTAAGTAGTATTTGCTACATGATCATTGATTTTTTATTTATTGCAGACTCTCCGCAGGCTTGCTCAGAATCGTGAGGCTGCAAGAAAAAGCCGGTTGAGAAAGAAAGTAGGAATATTCACTTATACAATTTTTCTTAATATTTTCTCTTTTAATAGTTACTTATATAATTTTTGTTAATATTTTTTCTTATGAGTGTATATCTTTTTTATTTTCATTCTCCGATTCTCCATATGAATATTGCTATGGTTACATTGTAACTCAGAAAGACAAGATTTGATTTTTAGTTGGAATATATTCTCATTAATGGGAATATATTCTTATAAGAAAAAGCCGGTTGAGAAAGAAAGTAGGAATATTCACTTATACAATTTTTCTTAATATTTGCTCTTATAATAGTTACTTATACAATTTTTGTTAATATTTGTTCTTATAAGTGTATATCTTTTTTATTTTCATTCTCTGATTCTCCGTATGAATATTGCTATGGTTACATTGTAACTCAGAAAGACAGGATTTGATTTTTAGTTGGAATATATTCTCATTAATGGGGTTGTATGTATTTGGATGATCAGTTTGGATCTACAGATTATGTGGCCTGCCGATAAATCTGATAGTGTAATGGTCATTATTTTGCTATGTATGATATTTTTTTCCGTTTACAAAATTTAATTTGTTAAAAGGAAAAGTAGAAAGTACAACTAGGTCCTCCAAAATTGAAAATTATGCATACAACATGGAACATGAAAAATACTCAGGAATGCAGCAAGGCTGCTGCTTGCAATATGTGTTTTATTTTCTCCTATGCTTCACTGGTGGTGGCATTGTAGCTTTGCTCACTCAAATGATTGATGTTCATGTTTTTTATGGCTGCATTACATGGCCACTGATTAAGGGTGTGTTTGATTGTGTTTTGGTTTTTTGTTCTTCAAGCTGTTTTGTAGAATAGTTAATGAAAAAAGTGTTTTCTATGTTTGTTTTTTTACAATTTTTAAAACTTTTTTTTACAAAACAACCTTATCAAACATGTTTTTTTTATTTTGAAAATCAAAAAACTGTTTTTCGAAACAGATTTCAAACAGGCCCTAAAGTTCCCTTACTCTTTTCCTCTTTTATTTTTACCCTCTATAATTTTGTAACAGTGGCATTTAGCTGAGTGTTTCTTCTTATCTACACATCTTTCAAATGGTAAATCTGGACACTCTACCTTTATAATTGTATAGATGGCGTAGGAGTGATAACCGGTAATTTGTAATGAGTGGGGTAGTCGTGGAATCCAATGATTCTTATATTGTTTTAACTTGTTTGGCATCTATGATAGTTTTAGATATAATTATGTTTGCACCACCCCACTTGACCATTCGAATGCAAAACTTGATACCATAAGCTCATTACTCCACAGGCTTATGTCCAACAATTGGAAAGTAGTCGTTTGAAGTTGACCCAACTGGAGCAAGAACTTCAGCGGGCTAGGCAGCAGGTGAGGTTCAATTATTCCTTGATATTAGATTTTTTCTCTCCTTCTTTTAACGACAGTTTTCCTTGCGAGTCATGTTCAATTTAAACGAAAATCTTTGTTCTTTTCCTGTAGGGAATCTTTATATCAAACTCAGGTGATCAAGCACATTCAATGAGTGGAAATGGTATTCTTCTTTCTAAAATATGTTATTCATTCCGCAACTTTTAATATCAAAACATGTCTATAAAAAGTAGTAGAGTTTGTGTCTTTTATGTTGTAACAAGCTATTTCAGGAAACAGATTTAATTTCTCCACTGTTACATGAGGTAATTTATAACTGTATTGTTTTACAGGGGCCATGGCATTTGATGTAGAATACGCAAGGTGGCTGGAAGAGCAGAGTCGACAAGTAAATGAGCTAAGAGCAGCTGTAAATTCTCATGCAAGTGATACGGAACTTCGCATGATTATTGATGGTATAATGGTACATTATGATGAGATATTTAGGCTGAAGGGCATTGCAGCCAAGGCTGATGTCTTCCATTTGTTGTCTGGCATGTGGAAAACACCGGCTGAGAGGTGTTTCCTATGGCTTGGTGGTTTTCGATCATCCGAACTCCTCAAGGTGAGCTAATAATGACCCTTTGGTTTATTGTTCTCATGGTATACTGAAAGATATTGTGGCTTTTCTGAGCCGTAGTTTTTCCTGATAATACAGAACTCTTACAGGGTTTAGGGATTATTATAAGATAGCTTCAACTTATTTTCGCCTCAGAGTTCTGTGAAAGAGAAGTAATTATATAGACATTGTCGGTTGGCATGTTGCAGCTATATTTGTAGGTGCTTCCTGATATTGCTGGTTGATCGAGAATGAAAAGTGTTAAATTTAGGATTCTTATTCATGTGCTAGGACTGTGTGCTGGTAATAGTGGTATTACACTTGTACTTGCTAGTATATTAGTGTACATCATATTAATATCATTCATATTCCCATTTATATTTGCTCGAGATATATAAAACAATTAATGTAGCCTCACTCAACATCTTAAGCTTTTGAGTTGAATTGGTTCTTTACATGGTATCAGAGCGTCGGTGTCACGAGTTCAATCTTCACCGTTCCTTCATGACTGAAAGGTCATGGGTTCGAATCCAGGAAACAGCCTCTTTGCAATTATGCAAGGGTAAGGCTGCGTACAAGGATTTCCTCCACCCCACACTCGCTAGTCGGGTTTAACGGGGAGTGTTTTTTTTTTTAATTAAATCTTGTGGAGTTTCTTAGCACAGGTAGGTGGCCCTGTGCATTGTTCACCCTTCAAGCCCAGTAGGCTCTCGTGTGAGGGGGCGTGTTCTAGATATATAAAACCATTAATGTAGCCTCACCTAACAGCTTAAGCTTTTGGGTTGAATTATCATTAAGTTGTATTATTTCAACATAAACTGATGATACGAGAGTTGGTGATGGTGAAAACCACTCGTGAGCTTTCATCTAATAGTTTAAAGCTTAGGAGTGTTGGTGATTGACGGGAGCTAAGTATTCCAGAGAAAGGTGGAAACTTGCTTATGTTGGTTTGTTTAGGGCTCCCATGAAAAAAGTGGATCAATTGGGAAGTTGTCCAATTAAAAGGGGTAGTGGAATATATATGAAAGCTCATTAGAGACCTTACTTTAAATGGTTTTATTGAAAATTTGGTTTTCGGTAGAGCTTAATGGTGTCGATTGCAGGAACGGATCATCTTATGTCTTCCTTAACATGACGGGGTCATGTATGATGATTTTAGCCATCCACAAACAAATCAACGGTTATTAAGTCCTCACTCTTTATCCTAACATGCTCTCTCTCTCTCTCTCTCTCTCTCTCTCTGTCACAGTTAATTTGTCAATGGACGGTTGAGATCATCTTACACAACCTGGTGATGTTGAATGAGACATGAATCCATTCCCATCAATTGATCCTTGTAGCCGACCCACATATTGGGTAAAGCTTCGGTGTGTTGTAATAATTTTGGAGACGACTTTTTGCTTTAATTATCTAAGTAGATTATCTTTCCTCCCAGGCCTAAATTAAAAAGCTGATCATTTGTAGTTTATTTCTTGAGTTTCATTGTTATTTGTCCCCATCTTTCAATCGCACCTAATTAGTTGTAGTGGGCATAGACAATTGAATCTGTTGTTCCATTCATATTCGATATTCAATCTTGTAGCATTTAGTTTAACTATCTCGAATGGAATCATTTTCGTGGATGGAGCAATTACTTTGGTGTAGACAGAAGAAGGGTGATCGTCATTTACAGATGAAGAAATGCCCTTGTTGTGATACTGAGTTTGGGACAACCATGTAAGCTTTGGTGTTTTTTAATTGATGTTCTAGCTGTCTTCAGCTTGAAGCTTATCATGAACCAACACTCTCAAAAGCTTAAGCTGTTAGGTGAAGACATATAAATAATTTTAATTATATCTCTAACACATTCCCTTTAAGTAAGAGACCTTTGGACTTAAAGTATGGATAATACACAAGTTGACCTACCTTGTGCTGAAATTCAACTTTTTATTAGAAAAATGGGGGTGTCAAGGATCAAACTGTTGGCCATATGGTTATAGAGACTCTTGATACCATGTCAGAAACCAACTCTCCCAAAAGTTTAAGCTATTAACTGAAGACACATGCATGGGCTTTATTTAGTGATAAAATAAAGTATAAAATACCTCAAAGTGGTGTGTTCTTGTCGTGAAGTCAGTGATTGAGATGGTTTTGGTGCAGTGTTAGGTCTCAATTTCTTTTTATCTCACATATCTTGGTTTTTTTATTGGGGATTAGATACCCACCTTGCTGCTGCACCCATCCCCTAGGAACTATGATCTTGGAAACATCCTATGAAGTGTACTTGCGTTCATGATCATGGTAGTACAATCTGCCTATGTTAATCTGATTAACCTAGGAATACAAGGAGAAGGCAGAGAAGAAAAGGAAGGTTTACAAATGGCCTTCAACAACTAAGCAGTGTATTAAGAAAGAAAAATTATTTCCTTAAATTAGTAGAAAGTTACAAAGTGATCAGTGACATTAAATTTATGTAATAACTCTTTAGCATAATGAGAAGTGACCAAAACTAATTTTCCAGACATGCCTCAACATAAATTAGTGAATCAACTAAGCCTATGTTTGATTTTCTAGATATAGCTCAGTTGTGTATTCATTCCTCTATTCATATCACCATTCCAAATAATGGGTGCTTTGCTGTGCAAGTGCATGATATTTGAATTCAATATGAGAAGTTATAGAAAGAAGGCTGGGTAGTTAAAAATGATTATATTTGTCCTATCTATAAAAAATGTAATTAGTCTGGTATAACTGTTTTAAAAATTGTGCCAGATGGTATTTTTACATGCTATTGTAGGCTGTTTGGTCAATTGATCTGAAGGTTAATCCTTGCTACCTTTAATCTTATATTTAAAGTTTTGGGGCAAGCCTGTGAGTTGTTTCACTATAAGGTAATTGTAAACTTGTGCTTCTTCTGCACCTTAAAACTAGTAAATTTTCAAGTGTAGAGTGTGCTAGAGTTTAGAAGTTCATTCTTGAACCTTTAGCTAGTAGCATACCACTTAATCTTAGTTGATTCTTGGATATCTTGGATAGAATCATTCCAATTGAAGTAAAGAATTGTAGGTAGTGTTAATGAACAGGGACTTCACTGTATTCAAATCATACTTGTAAATTAAATATTTTACTAGATATAAAAGACAAGTTATTACATCCTCGTGGAGTAAGAAAAACTAGGAGGATCTCCCCACCCCCTAAAGTTTGGTCACACCCACCTAATATTAATGGTGAAAATCCTAATTTCTCATCAAAGAGAGAAGATATTTTAATGTTGGCAAGGACAGGGAAGCTCTCAAGTTTTTTGCCCGGAATAACACTTCACTCTTAAAAATGTGTTTTTATTTGTTTTATTTAAGGTAATTTGTTTGTGAGTGTGCATTGTTTCTTGTACTATAGCATTTATCACCCCCTCCCCCTCCCACCCTGCAATAAAAAAAAACCTGTTTTGAAATATGATTGATTTTTATCCTTTTCTAGAACTTAGCTAATTTTTGAATGATTCAAAACCAATTGGAACCCTAAATATCTAAACTTAGTTTTCAGATGTGGAAATATCATCGTAAGAATCAACTTGGGTGATGGGAGCTAAGTGTCAAAAAGAAAAAATTACAGGTCAAATCTTAATGCATCGAAACAAACTTCAATTATCTCTACTATCAAAGCTGCTTCATTCTCAACTTAGACATGATATTGCAAAGACATGGTTTATACTTTATCAGGCTCTAGTACAATGCCACGAATCAACTCTTCCAAAAGCTTGAACTGTTAGGTGAAGGCAAATGAATAATTTTGTATCAACAGTCATAAACTTCTTAGATACATATTTGTCGTAATTATTGTGAAAAAAACAGAATTTTCATTTCTGAGATCTGGAATTATTTGACTTGAGTGTCATGAATTTGGTTGCAGCTCCTGGTAAGTCAATTGGAACCTCTCACAGAGCAGCAGCTAGTGGGTATTACCAACTTGCAGCAATCTTCCCAACAGGCAGAAGATGCATTGTCTCAGGGCATGGAAGCATTGCAACAGTCCCTTTCTGAGACATTGTCCACTGGATCTGGATCACTTGGCTCCTCTGGTTCATCAGGGAATGTGGCAAATTACATGGGTCAAATGGCTATGGCTATGGGTAAGCTTGGGACACTTGAGGGGTTTATTCGGCAGGTAACTTCTACTCGAAAAGAAAACTGAAATATTATTGCTATTCTAAAAAGAACATGTACAAAAGGGCATAATATATAGAGAAATTTAATGTGTCTAAAGGAATATATCCAAATCCTAAAAATAAGGAAACACTAATCTGACTAATAAAGGAAACAAATAATTACATATACTTTCCATATTTATAACACTTCTCTTGCACGTGTGTGCAATCAGTTTGTTACATTTTTCTTAAATAATGGAGGTATCTTTTAGTCCCATCTTGGCAGTCTTATAGTTTTACAACTGAATTTTTTTTTTTCATGCTTAGGACAATTTTTTGGGGGGATTGACATTTGCAATGTTGGCTTAACACTAGTACCCATGCCTTTCAACACCCTTATTAACATGGATCAAATATATGCTCTTTCATGCAGCATTTCATGGCAAATTGTTGATAAGAAACATCCCTGTTAAAATAACTTACTCTGTTCTTCTTTTCTGTGACGGTCATTTTAAGGCTGACAATTTGCGCCAGCAGACTCTGCAACAAATTCACCGTATATTGACAACTCGCCAATCGGCTCGTGCACTCCTTGCGATACATGACTACTTTTCAAGGCTGCGCGCTCTTAGCTCCCTTTGGCTTGCACGCCCAAGAGATTGATGGGTGCTAAATAGTCTGTCAAATTATTTTTCATGGATTTGGCACCTCAAATACTTTGTCATCATAGGTTTTACTCTTACTATTTTATTGTGTTGGAGTTTTCATGTTACTGATATTAGTGTTTCATTAAGTCACATAATCTAGAAACTGAATTGGTGTCAAGAGTATGTATTTTGTTTATTACTATTGATATTGTCCATATGTAGTAGCAGCTGAAGGGCTTCATAGATTACTTCATACAAAATAGTTGGGCTGTGATAAATTTGAATGTGTAGTTCAGTTGCTAGAGTTTTCTTACCTATCTGAATTTGTAGAACTTTGTGGTTTTACAAGAAAACATTTTTGTTATAACTCATTGGCCATCTGCTCATTCGTTAGGTTTTTTCCGTCATTGATTTACTCTAGCTTTTTTCATTAATATATGAAATTTGTGTCCTGAAGGTTCCATGAATGTGATTGAGAATGCACAGTTGGGAAGGTAAAATGCAAAGTAAATTTTATGTCCAGTTCCGCCCGGTTTTTTAAGACACTGTCCATAATGCTTATGAGTATAATATAAGAGAATGAGGCAGGATCCTTTGACACCGGTGTCAAATTTGAAGTTTGACACCTCATGTAAGAGCCGTTAGATCAAAAAAGATCAACGACTCTGATTTATAAGCATGTGACACCATTGATCTTTTTTGATCTAACGGCTCTCAGATGAGGTGTCAAACTTCAAATTTGACACTGGTGTCAAAGGATCCTACCTCTAAGAGAATTATTGAATTATCTTGTGGTCTTATTTGATAAATCGATTGAATTGATACATTCATTTTATTTTTCTGGAGTCTTTATTAGATACTTGAGAACAAATAGCTTAACAAGTAGGAACCGAAATTATTTTGTACCCTTAAGGGTGTCAAAACGGGTTAACAAGATACAACATACATGAATTTGACATAACATGAACACGATATGAATTTTTTGCTGGTTGACACGACATAAATGACATGCAAATTATGAGTCAAAATGGTAATCGACAAAAAAAATTAAAAAATGGGTTGAAATTCAAAAATAAATTTAAAAAATTAAAATAAAGTAATAAAAACATATGGGTTGAATTCATGTTAACACAACACGACATGTGACACAAATTTTTTGCGTGTTATCTTTCCCAACACGAACATGATACGAAACTTTTTGCCTGTCAACTCAAATACGAATTTTTGTGTCGTGTCGCAGGTAGACACGTGTGTTATAATCTGTTTTGTCACCCTTAACTCTTAGACTGTAATATTCCAGAAAAATAATAGTAATTTATGATACAATAAATTATTAATAATTAAAGATCAGGGATTAGGATAAATTTTTATATAAAACAAAATTATAGTGCTCTAAGTAATAGGATTACAAACAAAACTCATACAAAAGATAACCTACAAATACCTAGGGATTAGGGTTACATATACACAATTTCATATATATAAAACAACCTAAGAGAAGCTAGGAATTCCAAATTTCATATACACAAATATCTTAAGCGAACATAGGGATTAAGATTACCTATAAGGATTACACCTAATAAAATTTCATACACAACAAACCTACAACCACCTAGGGATTAGGATTACCTAGTGATTTGAGTATAGAAGCGATGGGTAACCAAAGAAAAATAATGATTTGAGCAGAGGAGTGATTGATAACCAAAGGAAAATAATAAAATAGAAATAAATAAAATAAAATTTTAAAATAATAAGAGAGAGTAGCAGAGGAGAAGAGGATAAATACTGAGGATTGAGTAGGGTTATTCCTCTATTTATAGCTGAAGTTTAGGGCTTAGACATGGGCTGCGCTTTGTACAATTGTTTTTCTTTTCTTTTTAATTTCTTATGGCTTAGAATATCACTGACTCATAATATCTAATCAAATAATCACATAATGGATAAATCATAATTTATCATCTAAAAATATATATATATATATATTCCATGAATATTGTAACACCCTCCCTTGTATGCCTCCAAGAGAGTTGTTTGCTAAGCGGATTAGAGTTCTTTAATCATATTTTAAAAAATGAAAATTATTTTTCCAATGCCAATTAAAAACTAAAGATGGGACCTGGTCGTTTACAAAAATCAGAGTATACTTTCAAAATTTCTCAACTAATGAAAATATAAATTTCCTGGCAGATCTTGCTGTCTTTAAAAATTCGAATAAAATTCATTTCAACGATTCAAAAAAATATTCCTTGTAATCTAGAAACTAGACATCTGGGGCTTCGCGTTCATATAAAATAATAGTAATTTGGAGGTCGTTTGCCCCTCGAAACATCACTCGTAAGGCGAGAGTTAAAATCAGTGAATTTATATCAACGACCTGACTTGCAAAAATCATAATAAATCGAGCTTTCATAATTTCGTTGAAAGGTTTATATATAATGAAACTAGACACCTGGGGCTACGCATGCATATAAATTATAAGAAAATCGGAGGTCCGTAGCCCCGGGACGCCAACCTACAAAGTGCTCGCACAAACAGTTTTAACTTAGCTTTCAAAACGTCATGAATCAGTTTTCGTAAAAACGTTTCTGAAATCCGTTTCAAAACACTTGCTGTTCTTAAAAGTTTTAAAACAGAATGTAACATAGTTCAATAATAATTCAAACATCCACAATGAGTACAGTCATCCATGAAATTAATACAATCACAGTAGCATGCCCAACAGTAGAAACCAACAGCAAATATCCAAGTCCTCAAAAGCTTTTACGTCTTCCTGCCATTTTATAAAAATATCAGCCCCAAAGGGGTGAGAAAAATCCCAGTAGTGTGGCAACAAAACCAATAATGCAACAGTATGAAACTAGGCACAAAATTGTAAATAGTCGCTTCAAACATTAAATCATTTTCATCATATAACCTTTTCGTCATATATCCTTTTCATCATATATCATATTGCGTATATAACGCCTTCTTCACGCCCATAGCACCGTCGTGCGCGTGCATACACAGTGGAAATTCCATGCACGGCACCATCATTTGGGGAATTCCACTTGGCCTATGCGGACTTACGCCAACTGTCCCAGCACCCTGATATCAAGGGATGCCTATATAATGCGTGCTCAATCACATGGTCCTATATATATAACTATTCTAAGACTCAAGACTAACATGAATTTGGTACATGCATGCCATGCTATGCTGTCACACACAAACAGAAAGACAAGTGCGGTATGATGTACGGTGCATGCATATATCATCATTTCATAACATATACTTCATGTACATTGGATGCCATACTGCCAAGCCATTCTTTCTTTTCATAACAGAATTTCCATAATCATAACATTTCCATAGGCAGAATAATTTCATCATTTATGGCAGAATAATCATAAGGCACATGTGAGCAACAATTCACAATCCATACACTAGTAAATAGTCACATCAGGTAATACCGCCTAACACATACCTCGTGTGCCACAATTATTTATCAAAACAGCAGCAATAATCAGCCCACGCTCAAAGGTTATTCGTACCTAAGCAAGAGTGCAACTAAATCAGAATTTTACTCATCCGATTCTATAATTCACAGACCAATATTCCCCGCCTCTTAGTCCTCGTACTAGCTCAGTTTAGCATGCCCCTTTTACTAAATTAAATTCTGATTTCATAATCATTTAATGACTTGTTAACAGCAAAAGAATTCAATGTAACATCCCAAGAGCTGGCAAGGGCAGGGAGTGATCGTCGGTGCGAAAGGGCACGAACAATGAGCGGCTCATGCCAAATCTTGCAGCTTGGGGGTTCATGAATGAATCGAATCAACACCCGAAAGAGAGGGATTCCAGAGACTGTGCTGGTATGGGACGGTATAGTTAGGAATGACTTATAAGAATTAATTGGTACTACCTATACTAACAAGATGCATCTGCTTTTCGGTAGCCCGGAACGGAAGAACTCCACAGTTAAGCGTGCTTGACTTGGAGCAATTCTGGGATGGGTGACCTCCTGTGAAGTTTTCTCGGGAAGTGTGCGAGTGAGGACAAAGCACGCTGAAAAGTCTCGTGTTAGTGTGTGGGGACAGTCATTGATTCTTGCAAGTTGTCAGGCGTTACAAGTGGTATCATAGCAGGGCCTCTCTTCCAGTACGGTGTGGTTCGAGGACGAACCAGGCGGAAGCTGGTGGGCATGTAACATCCCAAGAGCTGGCAAAGGCAGGGAGTGATCGCCGGTGCGAAAGGGCACGGACAATGAGCGGCTCATGCCAAATCTTGCAGCTTGGGGGTTCATGAATGAATCGAATCAACACCCGAAAGAGAGGGATTCCAAAGACTGTGCTGGTATGGAACGGTACAGTTAGGAATGGCTTATAAGAATTAATTGGTACTACCTATACTAACAAGATGCATCTGCTTTTCGGTAGCCCGGAACGGAAGAACTCCACAGTTAAGCGTGCTTGACTTGGAGCAATTCTGGGATGGGTGATCTCTTGGGAAGTTTTCCCGGGAAGTGTGCGAGTGAGGACAAAGCACGCTGAAAAGTCTCGTGTTAGTGTGTGGGGACAGTCATTGATTCTTGCAAGTGGCCGAGCGTTACATTCAAAGCTTCCAATTAATACAAATTCGGTTTAAGCCATAACTTAGGTACACGAGATTTTTATTTCACAAAGCACTTCCCATTTTATTAGCTAGCTAACATAACCATTCCTACTAAACCATGGGTGTGCTAGTGGAACCTATAAGCAGGCTGTACCATTAACTTCCCCAATGCAAAGCTAAGCATATAACTTATTTTGACAGAACAGTTCAACACTTATACAAGAGTTATTTCCAAAAACTCGAACTCGGTTTTCAATCATTACTAGGAGCCTAATTGATTTATTTTATTACTTCTATACATCATATAGTGTTTCAACTCTTCTTAGTACTTGATTTATAATCAAATATCAAAGTTCATAACTAGAAGTTTTTGGACTCAAGGTGTATTACCAAATAGTTATCAAGTGACACATTCAAGGGCCTTATAAGCATACAGATTCGACTTGTACAGCCAACACCTAAGAGTTCAACATTTTTAATTACACAACATGTTCTACAGGCTGGCCAAACAGTTCTAACAGGTTCTAAGCTTAGTTCATTAACTCGGTGCTTATAACTTTCTTTTAATAAACACTATATTTAGCTAGCAAGTATAAAGTCCCTAGGTAGCCTACCCATACCGATTCAGTCATGGCCAGGAACTATGTGCACAAAAATTAATTTATTTGCATAACATTTTCTATTAGGCTTACGGTTGAGAGGACAAAATCATAAACAAGCTGTACATACAATTCGAACACAAGCAAGGTTTACCCATATTTTTATAACTCAAGAACCCGTCCTAACAATATTAAGAGAGCCATATTTCAAGCTTCACAATTTCAGTCTTTAGGTTTGCATGCATTAATTGCCAAAGGCTTGGTGAATGGTGACCGAACAGTAAGGGAAAGAATGACAGTAAACTAACTCCCTAGATCACTCTTGCTAACCGAAACAGAGGAGAACACAAAAGAGATCAATATTCAAGGGTACCTTGATGCTTACAAGCTCGCCACACAGCCAAGGGATGTGTTACCAATCTGTTACGGGTGAAGTAGCTAGAAAGAAGAGTATCAGAATTAGGGGACACCCATCGTGGGCTGTTGATTATGTAAAATAGATACAAACTGTGTTAGGTACATATAGCAATAATCATACACATATAGCAGTAGTCACACACGTGTAATGAAAGGCACATGGGCCTTGGTAGTTATGCCAGGTGGCATAACCAACTCTGTCAATAAATACCTCACAATGGGTATGTGTAATGCATGCAAATTATCAATAAGAATCTGGTGTTCATTCTTAAGGGTACGCGTCCCTTATCAACTGGTGCTTCCATTTGGTGGATTCAAGATACCAACAATGAGGGTTCAAGAAGTGGTTGATGAATTACAACAGCACAAAGAGGACAACAATCGTAGGTTCGAGCATATGTTGGAGATGATGGAAAAACGTTTTCAATTGATGGAAACCAATTTTCGTGAGATGTTGACCCATGCTCCGAAATCGGTTTTGGACGCAAATTCTGCAGAAACTTCTTCTCAGTCTCATCATGGTGCTCCTTTTTCTTCATTGCATGTGGACGATTCTCGTGCAGTTCTGAAATTTGTGAAAACAGAGATTCCGAAGTTTGAGGGAAAAGAACCGAACACGTGGATTTTCAAAGCGGCTTTGTTTTTCCGGATTCATCATGTTCCTGACAATTTGAAGATGGAACTTGTTGGTCTGCGAATGGAAGGTGCAGTTGCGGATTGGTATCAATGGGTTTTCAATAGTGGTAGGGTTAATTCCTGGGAGGAATTTACAGTGGCAGTTAATCAGAGATTTGGTCCTTCAAAGTATAAGGATGTGCGAGGTGTGCTATCCAAATTGGTGCAGACAGGATGTTTGTCCGAGTACATTGCTGATTTTCAGAAATTAATGAATCAGGTATCGAATATCAGTGATGATTTATTGATGACTTTCTTTATTTCTGGTTTATTGCCTGATCTACAAGGAGCAATTCAATTGCGTGGACCTTCTTCCCTTCATCAAGCCATGCAATTGGCTATAGCTTATGATAGTCACCATGGAGAGTTACGTTCTTCAGTCACTCATCACCAGAAAAAGCCATTTTTTCGTTCCAATACAGTAAGCACAATGGACAAGCCAGTACTTGGTCCATCACTTGCCTTACCAGCCCCAAGTTCTTTACCAGTGAGGAAACTATCCCCTGAAGAGATGCAAAAGAAGAGGGAATTGGGTATTTGTTATACATGTGATGCAAAGTGGACCACTAAACATCGTTGTCCAGCCAAAATGCTTATATTGATTGGAGAACCTGAGGATTCAGAGGGTGAAGGTGAGGAGGAGATTGTGTGGGGAAAACCAGAAACTGAGGGAGTGAGAGTTGATGCTGCTCTGCATTCACTCTCGGGTCATGATGCTAAATCCTTGGTTTTATTAGCAGTTGTCAAGGATAAGAAGGTGCAAGTATTAATCGATTCTGGTAGCTCCCATAATTTCATTAATAAAGCTTTAGCTGAAGAATTGCATCTTCCAATGCTGAAAGGTACAAAGATGCGAGTGTTCATGGGAAATGGGGATTTTCTACTTTGTGACAAGAAATGCTCTCAAGTGTCACTATTCATTCAAGGTCACTATTTTTCTACTGATCTTCATGTTGTTGAATTAACTGATTTGAGCATCATTTTGGGCATACATTGGCTGGTATCCTTGGGACGTGTCACTCAAAATTATAGTGACTTATCCATGGAGTTTTCGTGGCAAAATCAAAAGGTATTTTTGAAGGACATTCCATCACAAAAAGAGTTAGCTACATCAAGCTCTGGAACAGCAGTTTGCAATGCCTTATCCTTGCAGGAGACAGCACCAGTAAGCACAGAGGTATCTCCTGACCTTTTGTTGTTGAAAAATACCATATCTGTTGATTTGTGGAATATTTTGGTCCATTGCCAAAAGGTATTTGAGATTCCAAGGTCCCTACCCCCTTTTCGTGATATGGAACATGCTATTCATTTGGTAGATGCTTCCCAAACTGTCAAGGTTAAACCTTACTGATATCATCATCATCAAAAGTCTGAAATAGAAAGGTAGGTTTCTGAGTTACTTGATTTGGGTTGGATCCAACAAAGCCATAGTGCTTTTTCCTCACCCGTATTATTGGTGAAGAAACATGACAATACATGGCGCATGTGCATCGATTATCGAGCCTTAAATGCACTCACAGTGAAGGATGCTTTCCCAATTCCCACCATTGATGAACTACTTGATGAATTATTTGAGGCTACAGTCTTTAGTAAGCTTGATCTACGTTCGGGCTACCATCAAATCAGGATGCGCACTGAAGACATTCCTAAAACAGCTTTTAGAACACATGAGGGCCATTATGAATTCAAGGTCATGCCCTTTGGGCTAACAAATGCACCAGCTACATTTCAAGCTGCCATGAACCGGATTTTTAGGCCATTTTTGAGAAAGTTTGTAGTTGTTTTCTTCGATGATGTGCTGATTTATAGCTCTTCATTGGAAGCTCATCTTCATCATCTGACATCAGCTTTACAACGCTTGTTACAAAATGCTTTTTATGTCAACCTTAGCAAATGTGAGTTTGGGGTTCATGAAATAGCTTATTTAGGCCATGTGGTGACTATTGAAGGAGTGAAGGCTGATAAAAAAAAGATAGAGGCTATGGTAGAATGGCCTACACCTCAATCCATGAAACAGTTGCGTGCTTTTCTTGGATTAACGAGTTACTATAGGCGATTTGTTAAGGGTTATGCTTCATTGGCCCATCCCCTCACTGAGTTGCTCAAGCAAACTAAGTTTTCCTGGAATAATGCAGCTGCTGAATCATTTTTAGCTTTGAAAGAGGCTATGTCTACAACTCCTGTCTTACGATTACCTGACTTTTCCTCTCCTTTTACGGTTGAATCAGATGCTTCTAAGTTAGGTGTGGGAGCTGTGTTGTTACAAGGTGGAAAACCAGTATCCTTCTTCAGCAAAAAGTTTGGTCCCAGAATGGCAGTCTCTTCTGCTTATGTCAGGGAGTTGTATGCTCTTACTGAGGCCATCAAACGATGGAGGCATTATTTGCTAGGTTCCCGCTTTGTGATCAAGACTGATCATCAAAGCTTACGGGAGCTTCTAAAGCAAACCATCCAAACTGCCGACCAGCAAAGGTACATTTACAAATTGATGGGATATAATTTTACCATTGAATACAAATCTGGTACCTCCAATATTGTAGCTGATTCCCTTTCGAGGCAATTTCCAGATGAGGACACAATGGTTTGTTATGCCTTGGTTTCAGAACCATTACTGGACATTTGGCTAAAAATCAAGGATGATAATCTGACTGATCCTGAACTTTTAGCAATTCACAAAAGTATGGATGAGGGGGCAGTCCTTCATGGTGATTTTTCAAGAAAGGATGGTATGATATTTCATAAAAATCGCTGTTATTTGGGATCTACTTCCAGTTTAAAGGAACTGTTGATGTCTGAGGCTCATGCCACACCATTAGGTGGCCATGTTGGAGTTCACAGATCCTTCTTGCGTTTATCTGCATCATTTGTGTGGAGACATATGCGACAAGATGTCAAGAAGTTTGTCAAAGAATGCATTGTGTGTCAACAGATCAAACATTCTACTCAGGTTCCATTGGGTCTTCTTCAACCCCTGCCTATACCACAAGCTATTTTTGATGATCTCACACTTGATTTTATTACTGTCTTGCCTCCATCTAATGGTTACACCACTATATTGGTAGTTGTGGATAGGTTGTCCAAATATAGCCATTTTGGTCCACTGCCCACATCTTATACAGCAGTCATGGTAGCCAATCTGTTTTGCGAAATGGTGGTGAAACACCATGGTTTTCCAAGATCTCTTGTATCAGATCGTGACCCTATTTTCATGAGCAAATTCTGGCGTCAATTGTTTCAATTGAGTGGTACGAAATTGAATGCCTCATCTGCTTATCATCCTCAATCAGATGGTCAATCTGAAGTGACAAATAGGTACCTGGAATAATATTTGCGTGCTTTTTGTTCAGAGCAGCATAATCGCTGGTACAAATGTTTATGTTGGGCTGAACTTCATTACAACACAGCCATTCATTCGGCTATCAGCATGTCCCCATTCCAGGCAGTTTATGGGAAGGTTCCTACCTTGATTCCACAATACAGCAAGTCAGCAGTTCCAGTGGAGGCGGTTGACATGATGCTACAGCAACGTGATCAGGTGTTGGTTCAGCTGAAGACTCAATTGCACCGAGCTCAGCACCGTATGAAATTGCAGGCTGATAGACGTAGGCAGGATAGAGTTTTTCAGGTGGGGGTCGCGTTTTAATCAAGCTCCAACCTTATAGACAGGTATCGGTTGTGCGGCGTGCCAGTCACAAGTTATCCAAACGGTATTTTGGTCCTTATTGTATTGAAAGAGTGATTAGCCCAGTTGCTTATCGCGTGACTTTACCCCCAGGCAGTTTGATCCATCCCACAATTCATGTCTCTTCCTTGAAGGCATTCCATGGTTCAGCAGCAGTTAATCATGAGCCATTACCAATCTCTAGCAAGGATAATAAACCTCTTCAAGAGCCTGTAGCTATACTTTCTTCCAGACATGTGCAGAAACGTGACAAGGAAGTTCTTCAATTTCTAGTGCAGTGGTCAGCAGCTTTTCCAGAGGATGCATCGTGGGAAAATGCAGAGGATCTTCAACAAGCATATCTTGCTCTCCACCTTGAGGACAAGGTGACTCTTAAAGGAGGGGCAGATGTTACGGGTGAAGTAGCTAGAAAGAAGAGTATCAGAATTAGGGGACACCCATCGTGGGCTGTTGATTATGTAAAATAGATACAAACTGTGTTAGGTACATATAGCAATAATCATACACATATAACAGTAGTCACACACGTGTAATGAAAGGCACATGGGCCTTGGTAGTTATGCCAGGTGGCATAACCAACTCTGTCAATAAATACCTCACAATGGGTATGTGTAATGCATGCAAATTATCAATAAGAATCTGGTGTTCATTCTTAAGGGTACGCGTCCCTTATCACAATCTTTGCTTTAAAACTCCACACTCCTATTCTCCAACGTTCACATTTTCAGCTACATGCAGCACACTTCTCCTCTCCATAAATTAGATTCACAGCTCATTGAATGTTGGTTCTTTTCAAGGATGTCACGGTTTTAGCAAAAGATGAGAGGATAAGATGAAATTTTTTCTTGATGTTCATTTTCTACTAGCTCACGGTGTAGGGGAAATGAGGAGATGGAATGAACTAAATTATTGTTCTGATTCTAGGAGTTAAACATTCATCTTGAAGCTCAACACTCCAACGCATAGGGAGAGGGGAGAAGGAACTAAGGTTGTCTACTGATCTGCACCCAAAGGCAGCAAGGAAAATTTGATTTGTCTTTGCTTGGGTTATGCGCACAAGGATAGGTGGATGAAGGAAGTAAGGTGTGACTCTTGGCCAATAAATTTACATGCATTCTGATTTTTGGATAAAAGGGCACATGGAGAAGAGAGTGGGATGGGTAAATGGGTTACTTTCTGATCAAAAGTTGAATGCAGTCAGATTGCATGTCCTCTCTTATTATGATGACTTATTATGATGCGCACAATAGAGGGATATAAGGCTGACTTGGTTCAGCATCCAATGACTTTCACTTGATTTGTTTTATCTCTTCACTAGGCGCACAATGATAGAGGGATAAGGATGTATTGGTGGTTTGCTTTCTCATCATCCTAAGCGTACAAGGAGTGAGGGAATGATGCAGATTTTGGTCCAAGGGATAGGTGGTTAATTTGGCCCACTGGCATTGCTTGCAATCTGTCCTCTTTTGATTAAATTAATGGGTTTCAAGTTTTCAAATGGTTGAGATAGTTTACTTGATAAGCCAAGTGTTGGGATTAGAAGGAATGGGCTGATTTAATTCTTCCCTAAAGTAGCGCATAAGGAGAGAGATGGTGAGGAGGAAAAGTGTGGCTTATGACCAATAGCATTGCATGTATTCTGATTTCTTTGATTTATTAAAGGACTGCAAGCATTCAGATGTACATCATAACACATTATTGAGCGCACAATAAGAGGGAGATAAGATGGATAGGGTTGTTATTGGCAAATAGATTACATGCCCTTGGCCAATGGAATTTCATGCAAGAAGATTTACTCTACTCTCAATTAATGGCTACATGGGGTGGCAAGGTTGATTGCTTAGGACACTAGTACAAGTAACTAAATCTCCCTTTCCTTTTCTTCTATACTAAGCGCATAAAAGAATAAGTGTCTATCATTATTTTCAACCAATAAACATATACTTTCTGATTTCCCAATCACCTACTAGGCGTATAGGATGGTAGAAGGGTTGACTTGATTTTTCTTTGGACACTTACGTAAGAAATTAAAGAGTCCAACTATCATCTCTTTAGGAGCATTGTAATTTATTAATTATCATTTCATATGCCTTCTAAGCATTATCTAAAATTTTCATAGGTTATATTAAATTAATCCTATTCTTTTAACTAGAGCTTTGAATTCTCAAGGTATGTATATACTTATATACTCACTTATAAATGCACATCGAATAATTTTTTCTAACTTAAATAAATTCCACTCTAAACATGAACTTAAATCGAATTTCAAGCATGCTTCACATTCTTGATTATAATTTACATAAGTTCCTAATTATGCGGGATGTTACAAATATAATAAAGAGTGGGAATTCTTGATCTCTCTCAATTCGAAAATCCAGGATATTATTATTATTACTAATACTAAATTATAAATTATTATTATTAATAATTAATTGTATTATAAATTACTATTATCTTCCTAGGATATTACATAGACATTCAACTAAAGTTTGGGATTAAAACTTATCAATTTTTTTCAATAATAAAATCCGGGTTTAAATACCTCTTTGGTCCTCTCTAATGTGATAACAATTTCATACGTATTTGCTGCTAGTGATAGTGTTCGCGTCTTATCAGTGTTTGTTTAAAGGGAGAGGTTATACTTACAATTACTTTTTTTATAATTTTTA